AAAAAAAAAAAAAAAATTTACCTTGTTGGAGAAGAATCCTTTGCCGAGGCCGTAGAATTTTTTCGACATTTTTTTGGATTTTTTTTGATGCTCGAATCGTTCGTTGAAGTTCGGAAGTTTAGAGAGATAGAAAGTTTAGAGAGATGAAATCAAAAAAAGGGTTAAGGGCAAAAGAGTAAATGGGGGGGGCGGTGACTAGTAAAAGGGGGGCGGTGAATAGCGATTGAGATCTACAATGCTTCACGGTTAATTGGAGATAAATCTTCAATTTTCTTTTTTATTCTCCTGTTCAATTTTTTATTCATTTATTTTTTTGACTGCACTCTCTGTTTAGTGGATCTAGAAATATTACTTACTTGTAGTTTAAATCGAAACGCCCATCTCATATAAAAGTTTGATAGTGATATCAATACTAAATTTTTAAAACCTTGATGGTATGTACACCATCAAGTTTTTAAAAATTTAATATCCGTATCACCTTCAAATTTTTCCGCCTGCAATGTAATGAGAAAAAAGCATTCTGCTCTTCGGATCCACGCCACCGCTCCAATACATTTAAAAAGTTCACTATTAAATCAAAGAGAACACTCACATTCACAAAGACACAGACTGACATACAAATTCTTCAATACTTAAAATTGTTGATGATAATCTCCGTGTACTTTCTCTTTCTTGTTGGCATCACTACTTCAAATAACACTTTTTTTGTTGGCATCTTGATAGGGATTATAGTAATGGACCGGCCCGATCGACTTGAAGACCCGAAGAACCGAACCGAGTAACCGTGACATCGACCCAGCGGTCGATCAACTAGGACCAAGCAGCCGACCCAACGGTCACCACACATGATCGATCAGGACAAGGAAATCGACCTAACGGATTATAGAGCCACGGTTGACCCATGAAGCGTCGGTCCGCAAGACGTCGACCCACGGGATATCGACCCGTAGCAGATCGACCCATGAGGATATCAACCCATAGCAGATCGACCCATGAGGCAGTCGAACACCAACTCTAGTTTGGTCCCTAGTAATGGCGGTTACTAAGTGGTCCGTACAACTAAACACTATATATATGATAAATTCTAAGAGGAAAAGGTAAAACATCATTTATTACAATCACTGTTACATTCAATACACATTACAATTCTCTAATTCCGAAATATTGACTTGGGCGTCGGGGGTCTTGTGCCGGAGCAATTCCGGCGTATTTGCAGGTACCGGCGAACACTCAAGCTTGGACCGGACCAAATTAAACGCGTTTACGCCACAATCGTGAAGAACCCTTTGAAAGACTGGAGTCACTCATCTCGGACCATATCACATCTAATTCTTCAAAATCTTAAAATACATACAACCCATTACCCATGTAAGAACCCAAATTCCCTTGATAATAAACATAGTTCATAACCTCATGAAAAAAAGGACAATCTATTATATGTAAAGAGAAACACAAAGGAGCCCCCTTTTGCCCCTTCATTCTGCACCAGCAAGCAAAAAAAACCCCAAAACTTCACCACATAACAACAAAACAATAAAATTATTTTCC